CATTTTCTTTTCAGATTCACTTCCGAGTCCGTTACTATTCGGCGAGACTCTCAGACGACCACATATGCTAATACCACTTCGTCACTGATAAGGCATGCATGGTAAGGTCAGGACAGGAACAACAAAATTTCCATGAATAGCAGAGCAGCAAGATTGACAGACAAGGCATCTTCAGATAAACACGTACTTCACACCCAACGTCATACGCATTAAGATAGTCGGCCGAGACAGTATCGCATTTTCAGGGGAAGGGATATCGTTGCCATCAAGTGCAGAGGAGGAGTAGACTTTTAGCATAGTTTTGATGTTAAACTGTGAACAATGCTGTCTCTATCATATACTTTGTGACATGTTGCAAATACTTTGTGATATGTTGAGTCATTAACTGGGTAATGTTTTGAAGTTATATTTTATTTTGTCAGTGCCTTCTGGGTGCCCTTCTGTGGTGTGTCGGGGGCTGCATCCTTTGAACGCTGTCTTCGCCTTGTTGATCTTCATTTTAGTTTTTTTCTCTTAAAGTTGCTTCCAAAATGGTTGAGAAGGCCTCCTTATTATATTTACAGCATACCTATGTTTTTTGAAATAGAAAAGAATACACAATTCAGCCTTCCCAATCATGTCGCTTTATTCAAATAGCCACATTTACTTCTATTTTGCCAAATAGTCTATCATAATTCTGTGCAAAATTAGTGCAATCCAAACAATTTCATATTTACTTAAAACACAAACAGCACATTCAGTACCTAACACTCTCTTATAATTTACATATAAATAGCAGCACCATACTATTGAACGCTGCCTGCGGGGTTGTTCAAGTATTTCATGAGGTAGTGCCGCAGCCTCTTCTCATCTGAAATATGATAAACAAGATCATCAAGGAAAGGCGCCGTTCAATGAACACAGCCCCCACCCGACCCAGTAACAAGAGCCAATAAGAAGTAATAGGAAGTTTGTCTTAGGCCACGACTCACTGCCTCTGACTTTTTCTATGAATGCACCATCCATCCCAAAGGCGTTTTCAAACTCCCTAGGCCCTTAAACAACGGTTTTGAAAATCCTTTCTTCTGTATCCATATATCGGTTTGAGAATGTCTCAACGCAGTTAAGTTGCAGGGGAAAAGCATTATCGGCGACAATGAAGTTGGTTGTGTCTTTGTCATTGTTTGGCATTGGGTCTAGTCGGGGAAACCCTATCCACTCTTCCCTGAGTGATGGCTCTAGAATAGATTGGTTAAAGACACCAGCATCTGACGACGAAACATTTGCTAAAATGAATAATTTGCACGACACCAAGCAAGTTGTCGTTTAAAGTCCCTGTCTGTGGTGGTTTCTTTATGGCAATGTACTTCCCGTCAATAGCCCAGCAGCAATGAGGGTAGTTCCATCTGTCCCGAAAGCTTTGTGCATCGTGTCACCACTTATCATGGGCACATTGCATGCGGAAGACCTTGCACTTGTATTCCTTTAAAATGGCTCTGCACACCTAGTGTTGCGTGTAACACGGAAATTAAACTCTATGAACAGGCACAAACAAACCGAGCCTGCAACATTTTCATTTTGCCGTTTTGGACTTTCTTTAGGGATTCTTATTTTCTCTATTTTTTTCCATAATTGGTAGGGGTTCCTCACGGACAGTAAAAGCGAGGATCAAACCTAGATGGCCGCTGTCTGGAAACATACAAATAAAACAATAAAATTTTATTAGAAACATTTGTCTAATTTATTGTTTTTGTATTTTTTTTAATATCAACTTTTTTCACACACGAACAAAATATTAATGTCTTCAATCTTATTGTAGATAATTTCTTATTGTAACTGACCTTTCACCCTTTGTCTATTTGTGTCCAAACCCACTGAAGCAATTTATAGAACATCTGAGGTTCATTTCTGAGAAAGGACTTGAAATCTTCATTTTCTATCTGAAGCCCTACCATTAATGTTTTATATTGGCCATACATAAGTCGTCTCTGAAGCCAAGGTCTGATACATTATTCTGTATTATATACCGTATTCGCTGCCTCTGACGTTACCTCATACTCTCTTCTTCAAAGATTATTATAACATTGTAACGGCAAGTTGCAGAAGTGGCATAGCTAGTTTAAAATTTCTAGGATTTGCCATGTTGTTGGCTACTGCTATGGATAGAATGAGCTATATATTTACCTCCTTTATGAAATCGAGGTCGTGTCTAATATTTGCCGGAGAACCAAGATGGACCGTACGGTATTCATACGAATATTGTCAAATAACCGGCTAGAATACATATGGATTTTGCCCCTACACCTTACAGTCATCTTTCGATGGGTGCTATCAGTCGGATACCGGACGACAATTAGATATATGTCGTACGATAGACGGCTAATTACCTTTTAAAGAATATTTGACGGTGTCCAGGTGACGGGGCGAGTACGCTTCGGAAACCTACCAAACGGACCATGCAAGGTGTATGACAAGTCCCTTGTTTCAGGCAAGACTTGAAAGGTTTCTCTCCGATGTAAAATCATTAACGGTGTCTCACCGATGCCTCTATCTTAAACGGTCCCGCTTGAAATGTGATGTATGCATAAATGCTTCAATTACATACGCATTGCAAATACTTTAAAATAGAATAAACCCTACCCAAAATGGTACTAACTTTATACTAGTGTATTGCTTACGACAAAATATTTCCAGAAAGTCATCTACAGCAGCGCATAATTCACGTCGTCTAATAATTTAACAGTTTTTTAGGTGTCCTAGATATTTGACACAATGTATGTTCACGTTGATATTGATTGTGTGTTTTATTTATAATTTTTATTATGAGCCTCTTTAAATAGAAATAGCTGGATTTTATTTGACGAATAGAGAGAGCTATAATATTAACCATGGCGACGGTGTCACACTTTTGTTAAGTTTTTGCATGGTATCTACTGAGGAGAATGGGCTGAACCTTCACACTTTTGTTATCTTACATGATTGACACAGGTCCGATAACTCTGAGTTACTTGTTACGTTATGTCTCTTTCCTTTTTGTCACGTACTGAGAATAGTCGAGCGCGCCGTCTCGTCGAAAAATTATATATATATAATTGAAGACATGAAAATTTAATGACAAGCATTTGATTACTCACATGTCATCGTCGTCCTTACAGCAATCATACACACAACACTGTAAACAGCTTTTTGTGCTTCCATCCGACAAATAACACACTTCCTGGCTGAAACATCATCCGTTCAAACAGAAAACACAATCATTAATGTTAAACGATGTCTCAGTCGAATCAGTGCAAATCTTCACGTCAAAAGCCTGCTTTCTTTAAAGTTTAATACACTCATTTCAATGTGGTTGAAACAATTCACAAGATATGTGATATCAGATGTATTTCATTGTTTAGTTAAATGCCCATGAGCTTAATAATTATTATACTACATGTAACGCGATATGTATAATTGATCATTTAATATACTCGTACATATACATTGATAACATATTTATACCTTGGTTTTTATCTTATTTAAACCCTATCTTCAATAATGTATCTACACTTTACCTTTAATATGCTGAATAATTTAATTTTACTAGTCTATGTTTCAATGCCGACGGAACCACTTATCATTTAAGGGAACATATTTTCAATTGTTTAATTACTGAATAGGAAAAAATACAGATATGAATCCGACGGCACATATGTTTCAGCTTATCTTGGTCTGAAGTCTAACTAATCACTTCAGCCAGATGTTTCAATGTTAAAATGAGGTATACCAATAATGTAAATTGTTATTCAATATTACATATAAAAAATATAATTCTACTCAGCCATGACTTGATCAAGGGTGATTGTGTTGTAATTTTCACTCCGGATCACTTGAATTTACCAGAGCACAGTGCAGCCACTGAATCGTTCCTGGGCAAGCTGTCAAGCAGTTTTCCAGCACTAGTTGTCTTCACTTTTGCAAGAAACTAATGACTTCTGTTGATGCCGGAGCAGAGATACATTGCGAGTGATCGCACTACCTATTGAGCTAACCGCGGTTACCATGTACGCTGGCAAAACCTAATGGTACTGTAGCTTGGAACAATTTACAAGTATACTTACGCCTGGCCTGAAAATATATTCAAAAAAGGTTATCAGTATAGCATTTTTCTCTTTTTTTGCGTATATAATAAAATTCATAGAAGCAAAACATGAATCTTCAACTTTCAGGTGACTTGTGTTTATAAGTACTCTAGTATCTAAGGGTATTCATCAAATTAAGAAGATAATACTTATGAGAAATGTAAAAAAATTAAATGTTTACAATAAACAATTTTTAAACATCCCTTGGGTTTTATGTTATAATGAATAAAATAAATATGTTTAATACTTACATATTTCCAGTATAAGAAGAAATATTCCGGTAAAGAGTTTCATTTTTACACCAGTTTTAATAAATTACACCAATCTACTCTACAATCAGTCCCAAAAACTTCATATCAAATATCGTATAAAACTTATTTTTGGTGATACTGAAGAGATAATTACAATGATTTTTATCAATGATAACGTGTAAACAATTTACAATAATTAAATAACTTATCTCAGAATTTGATAATTCGGTGTACATAAATGTTGGTGTTTTTATGAGGCAGATAACATTCTCATGTTACAGACACGTTTTTTAACAATGCCACAAACGACACGAATTCTTAACCAGACAGCATTAGGTCAATCAAAAACAGCCAAGCACAACAGCACGGTGGTTAACCAAAACGGCTTCTACAGTAAATTTATGGGTTTTCTTGCTTCTATACGAATTGGCAAACACTTATACAGTACTTGTGTCTTTGAGGAAATTTGTATTTTTAAATTAACATAAATATTGATTTTATTATGTTTTCTATCATTCCATTCAGCCAAACAGTATGTTGTGATCAATTGATGCTGATCGGCTTACCGTTAAAAAATACTTTTGTCAAAAATGTAGTGAACGTTTTGTTCCGTCGCTCTGATTTTTTTACGGATTTCACCAACAAAAGGCTCCATTTCGTCTACCCTTGTAACATTAAGAAACCAACTAATACCGCACATATTCTGCTAAATTACTTTTTCGTTCTCATCATAAAACTGTAAATAATACTTAAGGCATGTCTCAGCCTGTCTCGATCAAGGAAGGAATATTGCCTCGAATTTTACTAATTCGAAAATCAGACCAAACATTTTCTCGCGATTATTGAGTTGGGTTAAAGATACATTTGTATTGCTTTGCGGGACAATAAAAGTTGATAGCAAAAGAAGGGGGGAGGGTGTAAATCAAGGCGGTGCTCTATAACAAGGTGCCCCCCCCCTCATAAAAACTTCCTAGAATTTTTTTCACATTAATTATATAAAGTCCCCCCCCCCCACTACAATTGGAAAAAAATTGAACTTGAAAAAAATGCGTTGACTTCAAAAATAATTCATCATTTAACTCCATTATTAATATCCTACATGGATAAAATATAAATAAGAAAGACTATGTAGGGGTGGCTACTACAGGTTCACTTTAATTTATTATTATTTAAATATACATTCATACACATCAACGACACTTGGAAAAAAAATCACTTTAAACTAGTGAGAAGTGTCTCTGCACTTAACAATAATAACATATGATCATATAAAAGCCCCATATCGTCGATTCGACATTCCAAAAATTGTGATTCTGTGTAATTACAGGGCACTGTATGGAATATTGTCTTAAACACACACAAATATATAACCTCAAAGTCAGAACCACAAAAATCTCTCAAACTTAGAATCCATCCTTGCAACGTTATCAAAAGACAACAAATAATTGTCTAATCTGAAAAAGACAAAACAAAAAATAATTTATATATTAAATAGACATTAATCAATACCGTTGATTAACCTTAAAGTATACATTTTTTAATATTATTCTGGCATAACAAAGTCCAGCATAACATACACAATCTTAAGTGTAATCTCAAAACGAGGGCGGGCTGGGTTGGCGTCTGTGTGTAGTGAACCTAAAGTACCTCGTAGTAAACCTATAATACCTCGTAGTGAATCTATAGTACCTCGAATGGTCAAATACCCGTGTATATACACCTTATATATTGACCAGTCTCTTGGTGGACAGCTGAAATACAGCTGCGCTGTCCACAGTGACCGAAAAATCATAATATAGTAAAGACCAATGATAAATGAATTTATGTTTTCTCTCATTCCATTCAGCCAGACATAAATAATTTATCATTCAACTCCATAATTAATATCCTACATGGATAAAATATGAATAAGAAAGACTATGTAGGAGTGGCTACTACAGGTTCACTTTAATTCATCGACAGAAAAAGAGCGGGATGCGTTTCATAAGTCGATGAATAATTGATCTATCTGCCCAGATTTAAAGACCTAGCCGAAGTAGCACCTCCTGATCTAAATGAATGCAAACCGAAATTTCTAGTATTTAAACCGATAGATGCTAAATTCTTTATGAGAATTTGTCTAGCACGCGTATAAGAAATAGGGGGACCCCCTCTCAAAACATATTCTGTTTCATCTTTTTTCTTGCAAAAACTGACTTTCCTAAATAAGTATTGCCCCGAATCTGTATTATTTTTCCCCATTTTAAAATACTTCTCCAAAGCAGTAACAGGAAAGATAAACTTATAAGTTCTTGCTATAACTACTGTAGCTCCCTGCCTTAATTGATTGATCTGTTTTAGAAGACTCTAACATTATTTTGACCTGACGATCATCAATTTCTCTAAATTAGATCGTTTTAACTGTATTACTTCCGCAAAACTTAGGAACCCAGAAAAACTAAGAAAAGACATTGTAATAAATCTCTTGTCCATTAAATTAACATTTGAATTAAAATGTAAATAAACTAATTTTGCTAAATCTTCGGCCAAAAGAGGTTCTTTATGCTTAGACGGCTTACCAGACTCCCTTAAAATGCCACATTTAATATTTTTTCACAAATTCAGAAGAACACGGATCTTCTAACCCGGCCATTTTATGAGAACAAGAGATTGAATACAAAATACTGTTTATTTTTGACTCAGACGAATCATAGGTAAATACTGATGACACATATAAAGCTACATGTACATCAAGCGCAGGTAAAGAGCTGTAATTGTATTTCTTACACCATGTACAAAACAACTTAAAATAGCATTTATATTTCTTTAACGTATTTTTCTCTTTAGATTTTAATGTGAACCTTTCAAGCTTTAAATATTCTTCACGCAATTGTGGTCATCTTAACTGGTCCAGTTTTGCAATACTCCAACCTTTAACACGTCTGTGAAATGTATAAAATAAACTTCTTTTTACAAAAACATAACAATAATATCAACCCAGCCCATTTTACGACAGTATCAAACAGCAAATCATTCAGACCTAGACTTCCGCTTCATAAATAGATATAAATACAGACATGTACAGAATTTGTGTACATCATTCTTATCGATCGGGTCGATACTTCATCTGCATAGGATGCCAGACGTACATCTACAGAAATGTGTACATCAACATAATTCTTACCGATCGGATCGATACTTCGTCTGCACAGGATGCCAGACGGACATGTACGGAATTGTGTACATCAACATGATTCTTATCGATCGGATCGATACTTCGTCTGCATAGGGTGCCAGACGGACATGTACATAATTGTGTACATCAACATGTTTCTTATCGATCGGATCGATACTTTGTCTGCATAGGATGCCAGACGGACATGTACAGAATTGTGTACATCAATTTATATTATACAACTTACACAATACAATTTTTTCTACGTATTAATTAAAACAAAAACAGTCGTGTAAGAAAAAAAGCCCCGCTGCTATCAGTCAAGTACGATGTTGTCGGTCTACGACACAAAACAGACATGTACAGAATTTATGTACAACAATATATGTGCATGTATTAAGTGAGGGGACATGATGATAAGTGAACGAGAAAAAATGTAATGCTGTTAATCTGATATACTAATTACAAAAATAAATCTGCGTTCAAAATAGATTTATTCTGTTTAACTTACAAATAGATTATCAACTAAAAAAGCCTTGTTTTTTCTTATTCCAAGGGAATAGCTAACATTTTACTATTAAATCTTCTGGAATCAAAAATACAGTTAATGCAATTTGTGTCCATGAAAATATTTTGACCCGCTTTAAACTCTCTGACGCCATTGTTTTTTAAACAAGATTGGCCAAAATGACGAACTGGGCCATTTCGGAACTATCAGAGTGCCTTTCCTTTTACATGCCACAAGGTGAAATATGTTTCTAGAAACAAGATATATAGGTGGCACAAGTCAATTATTGCAGTCTGATTAAGACTGTGTACAAGCATCGATTGCTTGAGACTTATATTCATAAAACAAAGAGTTAAACCGATTTAATTTGCGATTTTTGAAGCTGGCAAACATATCTACTCCATCAGGACCCCACATTTGATCAATGAAATTGAAAAATTCGGTAGTATTCTCCCACTCATCTGAACTATATATTTTACTAATGTCGTCTGCTGTCTGATTATGCTCACGTGGAACCCACTGAATGCTAAAATCTATGTTCCATTTTAAACATAATTTAAAGATATTAAGCGACTCAAGTTGCAAATCTAATTTCGTGCTACCCGACTGAACAATTTTTACACACGACTGAGAATCAGAAAACCATTTTACTTTAGAATTCTTTTAACAAACTTCCATAAGCTCGTAAAGCAAGATTAACTGCTCTTAATTCTCTAAAAGTAGAGTTCTTAGCCGGTTCTTCCTCATTCCAAACGCTATGGACCACACTTTTGTTGCAGTCAACGATATAAGAGCCACATGACAGATGACTTGCATCAGAATATACCAAAGTCTGTACCGGATTGTATGCCGACAATTTTAAACATTAAACTTCTCTAAATTTTCAACCAAAAATCTACTTCAGTAAGGTAAGGATGATTTGATGGCAAATTATAACAAAAGTTCCACGACTTACTAGTCTCTATCTCTTTATACAAATACCATCAGTCATCAGTCTTGCTATATTTCCAATAACAAGCATCATAGAAATGACTTTTCCTGTAAATTGCGCTAAATGTCTAGCAGATGCATAAGTGAGAGAACCCAACAATAACTTGAGAGTTATCATGTTAAAATCATTAATTCTTCTTTGTGGAATGGCTAAACAAAATTTTTCACTGTTCAAGAAAATACCAATCCTCTCTTATTCTTGAACTGGGAACAATATTGATTTTTCTTTATTAATTGAAAAAGACTGTTCATTACAAAATAAAAATCGGCTTGAGTCTGTTCAAAATTTTTGTTGCTACCCCATTACATTACAATTTTTATTCCGTTCAATCTCCAGTATTTAACCATTTCCCTCAACACTTTTGTAAAAATGTAAGGGGCGCTACTGATGCCAAAAGGTAATTTACTGAAAAACATAACAAGAGGGCCACCATGGCCCTGAGGTCGCTCAACTGTATATAGGCCCCGGATGGGGCCAGT